CCCAAAATGTAAACAATTAGTAATTCAACCCGGATGTGCCACGCCCACCTCAACTTTTTTGTCATAGGTTAATTCATATTCAAATTGTCTTGTTGTGTTCCAAGTTTCAATGTTCTACATAAAATAGGTCATAAGATATATACACACCCAGCTCAAAGAAACAGAAATATTGTAAAAAAAACTCAAATTTGAAAAATTCACGAATTTCAATTTTGCTTTAAAAAAACGATTGTTATAAATCACTTGAAAGAGCATGAAAAGCACGTTAAGAATCCGAAAAAATTAACCCTCTAGGTTAATTAGGTCACGTGCTAGAGCAGTCCAAAGTTGCGAATTTGACTGTTTTCGGACAGCTATAAAACTGGAAGTACATGTCGGAGGTCAAATGTCAAAGTATTAACTGATAGCTAAGGTCAAGGTCATCAAAGTTCAAGATCACGAGATATAACCCTTCAAACTTTGAAAAAATTCAACCGGATGTTGCAAAAAAGCAAAATTGAGAATCGAAAAACGGCTTCCTAATGTCATGTTTTTTTTTTTATCTTCTTTCATTTGACACCAGATGATCACGAAGTGGAACTCGTCCTCAACTTCAGTTAATGTACATAGTGTGCATAATCTGTCTAAGTAATCTATTCCTAACTGACAATAACCCATGCGCACTACAACTAAATTTACATAATGTTTGGTAATATCCGTCATACTTGTGGTTAAATAGAAATCTTTCAGGTAAAAATATAGGTTTATAGACGTGGTAGTTTTTCAGTGCTGTACATATGTACGTATGAACCAATCATTCTACACTAGAAGAAAAAAAACATAAGTGATAAATATATACATTCTTCAGAAAGTGATTCTAGTATAAGTATTGTATTGTGAAGGTAAAAGTCAAATATGTATCATAAAGATAGGTCAAGTCAAAGTTCACAGTGCGATATATGTTATCTCATTATATTATATTATGCATTTAGTGCAGGTTGAAGTGTAATATTTACTATTATTGTTATATCATTTTAATCTACACAAAGACTTGTCTGATACATGAAGACTTGTCTTATATTTATATTATAAGAGAAATAATACGATGTAAATACATATCTTACCTGTAATTAGTACTGGTAAATAAACTATAACTATTAATATCAATATATATTTATACTCCATGTTATTGAATAATATTCAACATGGCGATCTTCTCTTGTCATATATTTGGTCTACTGGTATATAGCGTTTTATTACAAGGCTCTAATTTACTTCCTCTTTTAAACATGAAAACTTCTATACATGTATATATCATGTCATATATTATTGTTTAACCTGTTTTGACCTAAATACATAGTACAATATTTTAGCAATGCCTAGATGGTATAACGTCAGAGGGGGTTCTCTTGAGAAACTGGAATCTCGGTTACCCAATTTTGGATCCCCTGAACCCTAATACCCTGATATCTTGCTATATATTTTTGTTTAACATGGCCTAAATACATACTACTGTATTTTAGCAAAGACTAGATGGTAATCACTTCAGAGAGGGCTCTCCTGAGAAACACTGTAATCTCGGTTACAAACTTTTTTTGACACCTTGTACGCCAATAAATTATTTACCATCTCCTGCTATCCTTACCAAAGAATAACTTAATAAAAGACTAACAGATTACAGTCGTTATTTCGAGACAACTGTCCACAACGAAGAAACAGAAAATCTCCAGTCGTTCATTTTACACTATGTCGATAATCACGTGCGGATTATGCAATTGAAAGGAAAATGGCGACTGGTTCGATGTTATAAATCCGCAATGCGATAATTTTGTCGTGAAAGCACGGGAATAGGTATGATTTTACTCAAAATTAGAGTCAGCGACAAAAACCCTGAAAAACGTAACAACGCAGTGATGCACTATAATATTTTTGTACCACTGCAATGCTTGTTTATTGTTAATGGCAGACAAAACTCTCACACTTGTGATGTTATAATTCGAAATTCAAAGTGACTTTACTGGAAACGGTCTCATGTTTCTTTTTATACCAAATAATAATAAAGTTGTCCCCCTTTATAAAGAATTTTTGCAAATACAGGTCCTATTTGAACAAGCTTTATTTATGGTAGAATT